CTCCATCTCCAGGGGATCCAACACTCTCACACAGATATACATGCAGGCAAAATACCAATGCACATAAATTAAAAATAAATACATCATTTTTTTAAAAAAGAAAGAATATTAAAAGAATACATCTTAAAAAAATCAACAACCCAGGTCAGCCATGGTGACACACACCTCTAATCCCATCACTCAGGAGGCAGAGACCACAGGGGATGACATCTCTGTGAGACTGAGGCCAGCCTAAGTTACAGAATGAGACCTTGTCTTAAAATTTAAAAAAAAAGGCTCAGAGATTGCTCAGCTAGTATTGCTCAGCTTGCTATGCAAGCATTGAGGGCCTGAGCTCAATGCCCAGAACTCATACAACAACAACAACAACAACAATAATAATAAACAGCCAGGTGTGGTTCTGGGCACGTGCAGTCCCAGGACTAATGAGGAGGCAGGAGGAGCCCTGGGCTTCACCGGCTGGTCAGCTGTCGTCTGCTCAGAGGGCTCCCGTCCAGGGAAAGACTGTGTCTCAGAAGAGTATGGCTGCTGAGGAGCAACCGGGGTTTAACTGGCTTCACACACGTACACGCACAAGCACACTTGCACACCTCACACACTTACACCCATACATAAATTAGAAACAAAACAGCCCAAACTTGTCAAAACAGACAGACAAACGCAACCAAGTCCACACCTGAGCACCTGTGACTCTGGGACGTCAGGTCCCCATGAGCCTAAGGAAGGAGGTCCTTCCCTTTCTCCAGACAGGGTTTCTCTGTGTAGCCCTGGCTGTCCTGAAACTCACTCTGTAGACCAGGCTAGCCTGGAACTCACAGAGATCCTCCTGCCTCTGCCTCCCGAGTGCTGGGATTAAAGGTGTGGCCACCACTGCCTGACTAGGAGGCACCTGTTTCCAGAAGAGGCTAACAGTAGTTTTGAAAGCTGAATACAAATTGGTCAGGTAGTCAATAAAAGATGGGCGCTGGGGGTAGACAGACGGCTTAGCAGTTACCAGCACTTGCTATCCTTGTAGAGGACCCAGATTTGGTTCCCGGTAGCCACATGGTAGCTTACCGTAACTCCAGTTCCAGGGGATCTGACGCCCTTTCTGGCCTCTCTGGGCACTGCATGCACATGGCGCACGCTTATGTACATAAGACTAAAATAAATGAATCTCAAAGGCGGGGCACTGGTCTGAGGAAGGGCAAAGGCAAGAAGCAAGGTGCTTTTGGAGAGAACGTTTACCTCAGTGACTGGGAAGACAGGGCCACCAAAGCAGTTCCTGGGCAGCCTCCATTCATCAGCAGGTGGCTTAGCACAGTGAGTGTGACAGCCTGAATGCACACCAGCTCTGAGGGTGGCGTAGGGTTCGCACTGTCCCATTGTACAGATCACAATACCAAGGCACGAAACGGAGCCTGGAAGGTGGTGTGATTAGGGGGGAACCTTTAGCATTTGTCACCCTCTTTGTCTGTTGACCCCACTTTGGGCTGCGGTGTGTGAATTTGACCCTGTGGCTGCTGGGAAACGATGGAAAGACATACAAGGGGAGCTGTGTCTTGCCGATGGCCTGGCTGGATGGGGACATCTATGAGGCTAGCATTGGAGTCTGAAAGGAGCAGAGGGTGGCTGGGTGGGTTGAGGTGACTGAAGAAGACTTTTGTTAGAAAGCAGCTTCCTCGGTGTTACAGATATGCACAGCACCTGTGGGTACCAAGGACTTGACGCATCAGAACTGACTGTCTCCCATAGACACACAGAGAACATGCTGGGTGCCAGAACCTGAAAGCCAGGCCCTGCCACTGAGTCTCCTAGAGAAATTCTCCAGCCTCCCTCACTACCTGTAAAATGGGTATTAGAACCACCCGGCTACCTCTAAGGTCTGCTGTAAGGACCAAGGAATCTAATCACACAAAGCCCCAGACAGAGAGCGTGAAGAAGCTTCTGTGATGGGCATTGCACCTGCAAATGAGGAAACAGAGGCCCAGTATGTAGGTCTCTGCAAGCTCAGGATGAGGCTCAGGGGTGACCAGGCCATCTGGCTCCAGAGCCAGACTTATTTATGGCCTCAAAGAGCTATCGGGGTGGAATGGGGGCCGCTGCGTGAGGCTCTGTGGCTTCTAGGTGAGGAAGGGAAGTGTGAGGATGCTCCAGACTCTCACTCAGGAGGCCAGGGTCACCCAGTTCTCCAAGGGTGACTTCTGGGCCCCCGGCGGCGCCTCCTCCAACAGTTCCCGGGAGGCCCCGGCATTTCCCTTGGTGCCAGGGGATTGTTTTCAGCTGGCCTGGGCCCGCCTTGGGCTGCTGGAGACAGGCTCGGGCGTCACAGTCCCCGCTGTCTCCCCATTCTCGTCTGTGGGGTGGGGGCAACCAGCATTCGAAAAGGCCCCAAAATAAATGGGCCTCTTATCTGATCTCCCAGGCTGGCCTGTTATCTGATCATTATATAATGGCCAGGCCTGTGGCCTCTCCTGCTGGCGCTGGCTGACGGCATGGAGGAGGCGGCCCCAGGCAGCCCGGCAGTGCCAGAGGAACTGGGGTTCCTGGAAGTCTGGGGAGGGGGGCGGGAAAGTCCAGAGATCTGTAGGCCAGATCCTGGGTCATGTGGGGAGAGGTGTCAGAGACCCAGAGGCCAGGCATATGTCTGTATGACCTTGACCTAAGTATTCTGACCTTCAGGGTGCCGTCTCCCATCTAGGTAGGGGCAGCCAAGCAGCCTATGCTTAAGAACGGGCTGGAGTGGGGGTGGATCAGAAGGGAAGCGAGAGGGTACCAACCCTTGAGTCTAGTGGGGTGAGGAAAACCTCCGTTGACTGCCCTGCCCTCCTCCTTCGCCCCAGCCCTTACACGGTCAACATCCACAGCAAAATGCAGGCAAGAAAACTACAGAGAGACCACCCTACGCTCTGCCTACAACGCGTTCCAGCAACCTTCAGGGCTGCATGGCCTCCTCTCTCATTGCCGCTGGACAGACCAGGGCACCAAAGCCCCAAGTGCTGAAATCACTCTCCAAAGCCATAGCTAGTCAGAGTCAGATGTCGGGCCCGGCTCCCAGGACCTTGCTTTGAACAAAAACAGCATCTTCCAAACACACTGATGTCCCTAGTATATTGCAGACAGGACTAGGCAACAGCTGATAAGGTCTGGGCTCCTCGGCAGACGCCGGTACCTGTCCCAGTTCTCTCCCCAAGATGGAGATGAGGGGCAGTGTTGACAGATGCGGGGCAGCCATCCACCCGCCTTCTCCGACCCCGGTGGCTTTGGGCCCAACACGCTGGCTGCAAAGGTGGAAGCGGCCGGTCGGTCGGGCCGCAGGCGCCTGGGGTTCGGGAAGAGCCAGCCTGCCCCCATCCCCAGCCCTGGCGTCAGCGGGACGTGAAGCCCGGGCCTCCGCGCCCATCTTTGATCTCCAAGAAAACAGGAAGTGAGCACGACAAGATGGAGACACAAACTTCCAAACAGTCTCCCCTTCTCTGTCCCTCCTCCGCAGCCCCCCTTCCCCCTCAGCACATTCCTTAGGACGAGGTGTAGGGGCCTCATTTCCTCTTCCTCTTCTGCTGGGTCAGGGCGAAATTCCACTGCTCTCCCGTGGGACCCGTGTTTCCGGGCCGCCCCGCCGCAGGCTGTGAGCCTGCTCCATCCTCCCAACCTGGGCTGCTCGGGAGGCAGGAAACGCCCTCCGCAGAGGCAGTCTCTCAGGGACCCACACCTTGAGGTCAGAAGAGGGGAGCAGGCTCCTACCTTATCCCCCTTCTTCCTTTGGATTGAACTGACCTGAGGGTGTCCTGCCGCCCGGGGTCACCTAACAGAGCAAATAAAAACAGTGGAGAGCTGGGCACTGTGGTGCACACCTTTAATCTCAGCATTGAGGAGGCAGAGACAGTTGGCCTCGGTGAGTTTGAAGCCAGCCTGGTCTGCATAGTGAGTTCTAGTCCAGCCAGACCTCATCTCAAAAAAAAAAAAGAACATAAAATAAACATATATCACCTCCCCTGTAAAAAATTACATTTGAATTTAAGTTTAAATTTCAGATAAACAATGAATGTTTTTGTAGTATAAGTATATAATTATATATTAAAAATTATACCGCCGGGCGGTGGTGGCGCACGCCTTTAATCCCAGCACTTGGGAGGCAGAGCCAGGCGGATCTCTGTGAGTTCGAGGCCAGCCTGGTCTACCAAGTGAGTTCCAGGAAAGGCGCAAAACTGCACAGAGAAACCTTGTCTCGAAAAACCAAAAAAAAAAAAAAAAAAAAAAAAAAAAAAAAAAAAAAAATTATACCTTGAAAAATAATTCATGTTTGTCTGAAATTCAGACTTGATTAGTATCCTGACTTTACCTAGTAACACTATGACCCTGGTAGAGACTTTCTCTGGCTGAGCCTCAGTTTCTCCATCTGTGGAATGTATGGAGTGATATCTACCGTGTGGGGTAGCTATGAAGATGTCATGGCAGCTTGATTTCTGATCTCACACCAAGTGTGTAGGAAATGTTCAAAAAGTCGATGTGATGCCAGGCAGTGGTGGCACACACCTTTAATCCCAGCACTTGGGAGGCAGAGACAAGTGGATCTCTGAGTTGGAGGCTAGCCTGGTCTACAAAGCGAGTTCCAGGACAGCCAGAACTATTACACAGAGAAGCCTGTCTTGAAAAACAACAACAGCAACAACAACAAAAGAAACCCAGACAAACAAAAAGTGAATGTAATCGTTCCCAGGCGTGATGTTGCACACCTGTAATCCAGCATTTGGGAAGTGGAGGCAGGAGGATCAGGAGGTCAAGACCATCCCTGCCTATATGACAAATTTAAAGCCAGACTGGGCTACATCAACTTCCAAATAATAATAATAACAACAATAATTTTTTAAAAGAGTAAGAATGTACTTGGCATTTTTCCTCCTAGTGCTGGGAATTGAACCCAGGGCCTTGCCAATACTGGGCAAACATTCTACCACTGATCTGCATTCCTGCCCCACCACCTTCTCCCCGACCCACTTTCCCGCTGTGCTTTCCCGCAGGTCTTGCAGAAAGGGTCTATTGTAATCTACAGCCTGTGGACCCCACAAGGGGTGAGGTGACATACACCACCAGCCAGGTTTCCGAGGGCTGCACAGCTCAGGTTACCAACGCCACTCATGAAGTCCACGTTCTCTTCCTGACTTTTCCCAAGGTGAGTACGTCCGTGGGAACCCACAGGAAGCCGAGGCATGGGTGTGGGTGTGAAGGATACCTTCCCTCGGCTGGTGCTGGGGCGGTGGCTGGGACTTCACTGGGGCCTCAGCATGAGGCTGATGGGACATCTCCTGGGAGGGCCCCTAGGGAGCGGCCTTCTGGGAGCAGGGATGAAAGCGTGGCAAGGCCCTGCTGGAGGGCCAGTGAAGCGGCTCACCAGGTGAGGGTGCTGGCCACCAAGTGTGATGACCTGAGTTCAAGTCTCTGAACCTACACAATAGAAGTAAAGAACAGACTCCCTCGAGTTTTTCTCTGACTTCTCCTGCACACACACACACACACACACACACACACACACACACACACACACCATAAATAAATGTTAAAAAAACAATTTTTAAAAAAGGACCCAGGTAGAAAGGAGCCAGGTAAGCGAGTCAGTGTGAACCGGGGTCTTGTGCCCAAACACCTCTAAAGACATGGGAGGACATGACTCCACTCTAACCGGGACTCCCTCACATCAAACATCTGTGACCCCACAAGCATCCTCTGAGATCCCAGACCAGAAAAGCCAGCTGCAGCTGTCCAGATGTGTAACCCGCTTGTCAAATGCTTACTGCGTGCTGGGTGCCGGGCTCTCGCCTATGGTCTGCCAGGAGCTAGCATTTTGTTTGTTTGGTTGGTTGTTGGGTTTTTGCATTAAGGTTCATGTAGGCCAGGCTGGCCTCAAACTTGTTATATAGCTAAGGATGTCTCTGAACTGATCCTCCTGCCTCCACCTCCAAAGCACTGGGACTATAGACACATGTCAGCACATCTGAGACTCAGGGCCTCATGCCTGCCAGGCAAACACCCTACCAAACGCTCTACATCCCTAGCTACCATATATATACATGTAGTGTGGTGTGTGTGTGTGTGTGGTATATGTGGGGAGGGAATGTGTGTGTGTATGTGGTGTATGTGTCTGGGATGTGGGGGGGATGTGTGTGGGGGGGATGTGTATGTGGTGTGTATGTGTATGTGGTGTATATGTGTGGGTTGTGTGTGGTGTGTGGTGTATGTGTGTGGGATGTGTGTGGTATTGTGTATGTGTGTGTGTGTGTGTATGTGTGTGAGTGTGTGTAGTGTATCTTCTCAAGGGCTCATCATAGTCTATTACTATTCTCAGTTTTTGGAGGAGGAAACTGAATCTGGCCTTGAGAACTAAAACATGAACCTAAAGACAGAGTTTACACCAGAATCCTAGGGACCTCAGAAGCAACCACGGTGTCATCGGCCGTCCGGGACGCAGCCCACACTAGCTGATGTGGACTAAGGCCGCGAGAGTGAGTTAGGAGCCTGGGGTAAATTTGTGACCAGCCTGCCCCCAAAACTGTTGAGTCGGCTAGCATTTGTGCAGTGATAAGGAGGTGCCCAGACCACCAATATCGGGGGCCCTGCCTGCCACAAGGACTGTGGGCTTTGATAACCCCGAGTTACAGATAGCACCAAATACACTTTATGTGGCTTCCATAAGCATTGTAATTGTTTTTCAAGTTTGGTAATGATATAGAAAAATAAGGAGCTTCCTGCAGGTTCGTTTTGTTTGTTCTGAGGTTTGGGCCTTGCACCTCTTCTGGGTGATTGGGGTCCCCTGACAGCAGAGCCAGGCAGAGGAAGGTCCCAGCCAAATAGCCAGATCACTGGGACACACATGCTCTAGCCAGGACTAGGAGGCACAGGCCACAGGGCAGGGTACCTCAGCTGCTAAAGGCTTAGGCAGGGAGGGCTTCCTGGAGGAAGTGGCAACACAGACTAGCCAGGACCTCCCAAGTAGGGTAGGCAGTGGGCACAGCAGGGGAGAGAGTGTGCCTGCAGAGGGGAGGAGCTGCCTGCTCAGATTCTGCATGTGGTTGGCGGTCCTGGTAGTCCACCTAGGAACAAGGAGCTCGGTTTTTATCTATGAGCGATGACATCCATTGAGGGGATTTTAAGGTTGTGGTGGGGTAACTCATGACACAGTCCAAGGATTCTAGAGTTTGTGGCAACAGAGTCTCCCTGTAGCCCTCTGCCCCTTCCAGAGAACTGGTCCGTAGATCATGTGACTTCTGACCCAGCAGGCCGGGCTTCCAGCACTAGAACTCTGAAGGATATGCATTCAGTGGATGATGGAGAGAGCCAGGGTCCAGCCCTGCATCTGTCATCTGCCTGCACCTCCAACAGTGCATGGGATGCTCCCCTCGTATTTTCCTTGGGTTCAGAGGCGCGCCCAAGAATGAAACTGTAGTATCTAGTCCCCGGCTTGGCCTATTCCGAATAATTAATATGTTCCATAAATGAATGCATGTTTTCAAGTGTGACCATGATACAGAGTTCAGGAACACAGCTTCTAGTCCCGCATTGTAGCACGTGACAGAAATCCCAACTACTCAGGAAGCTGAGGCAGGAGGATGCTTTGGACTGCAAGTTTCAGGTCATGCTGGGCAACAGTGAGAGTTTGCTCAGAAAACAAACCAAGAAGAAAGAATAGATTCTGGAATCAGTCACTCCTCACTTGAACTTTGGCTAACTTCATGGCGGCATCGCTTTGTTGGCAACCTGTCTGAACCCTTTTCTTCCTACGGAAACACGGATACGATAATCATTCCTACCTCGCCGGTTACTGAGACTCCAGTGGGTAATGCAGGCAAAGCACAGAACCTGCCCAGGGTGAAAGCTCCAGAGCTACTGGCAGCTGTAAGTTTTGTTGTTAGTATTATTACTTCTCTCTCTCTGTTTTTTCCAGACAGGGTTTCTCTGTGTAGTTTTGGTGCCTGTCCTAGATCTCACTCTGTAGACCAGGCTGGCCTCTGCCTCCCGAGTGCTGGGATTAAAGGTGTGTGCCACCACCGCCCGGCTATTATTACTTTTTTCTGGGCTCCACTTCTCACCTGTAAATACCTGAGTGTGACCCAGTTTCCAGCATCTTCCAGTCATTTTTTGAACCTCACATGAGTTTGGACCCTCTGGAGAAGAAGAGGCCTGCAGAGCCATTAGTTCCTGGCTTCCTAGTCTCAAGAATAGTGTGTGTCTGTGACTCTGTTCAGTCTTGGTGCTGTGACCACCGAGAAGCCTGTGACTTGCCTGGGACTTACTTTCTAAGAACAAGGTCCACACAACAGTCCCTCGCCACCAACTCTGCCCAGGCGCTTGCTATGTGCCCAGCCTGTGGTCGGTCAATGATACAGACAGAAAACAAAACTGAGCCCCTCACAGGCCGAGGATTCCTATAATTGGGTGATGGAATTAGTGATGTGGGGAGGGGGAGAGGCTGTGGTGTCAGGATTGGCCACTGATTGTGGAAAGAAAGGGATTTGGGAGCCAGACCCGGAGCTCTGTTGTTATAGTGCTTGTCTGTCATGTGTGAGGCCTGGCTCTGATCCCCAGCATCTCACAAACAAGGGCAGGAGCACCACACTTCAGAGGCAGATGCAGGAGGGTGAGAAGTTCAAGGGCAGGAGAGGTGTGGGCTCAGCAGTTCAGAGCACTGGCTGCTCTTTCAGAAAACCCAAGTTCTGTTCCCAACACCCACATCAGGCAGCTCACAACTGCCTCTAACTCCAGCTCCAGAGGATCCAACACCCTCTCCTGGCCTCCATAGGCACCCACATGCAGACACATACACATAATTAAAAATAGTTGTTTTTAAGTTCAAGGTCATCCTAGCCTATAGAGAGAGTTTGAGGCCAGCCTGAGCTACACGAAGACATTGTCTCAAAAAAAAAAAAAAAAAAAAAGTAAGAAAGAGAAAAGATAGAACTATGTCCAGCTAGAAAGCGGAGCCGAGCACATGAGACAGAGAACAGGGCACATGCAAAGGCCTAAAGGCAGAAAGCCTGACTGACAGACCTGGTGGGGGTGGTACTGCCTCTGCTGACCTTTGGCCTCCTTTGTCAGTCCCTGGCACAGAGAGATGGCTTTCCCGTCCATCCCCACACGGCCTCAGAACCCTCATGTTTCCTGTGCGTGGGCTGCAGATGAGTAATTGCAGCCAAGAACCCCAGGGAAGTGGCAATTGGGGTGTGTGTCTCTGTCTCTGTCTGTCCGTCTGGTGTGTGTGTGTGTGTGTGTGTGTGTGTGTGTGTGTGTGTGGTGTTGAGGAAGTCTGTAGACAAACCCGGGGCTGCTGAGCAGGGGTTATCTCACTGGGTCCCCAAAGGACAGGCCGGAGCCTGGATTCCGGGAGGGACGTAAGGTCACATCCTGACCTTCAAGATAGGAACAGGCCTGGTGTCTCAGCGATTCCCATCAGGCTGACTACACTGCTCTGCTGTCCCAGACCTGGACAGCCAAGAGTGGTTGGCTGCTGACTCGCTCCCCTCCTGGGCAAACTCAGGGAGCCCCTTCCTAAAGATTGGAGCCAGCCAGGCTGTGACTCATGCCTAGGCAGAGGGAGCAGACAAGCTGCTGAGGCAGAAAGCGAGCCAGCAGACTGCCATGGGAGAGTGAGGGGCTATGGAAGGCAGGGTGGCCCGCAGTGAGCAGCCCCTGTCCTGCGGCAACCCTGCTCCACCGTGGGAAACCTGCAGCGCTGAACTATGTACCTGGAGTCCCTCTCTTGAGCTGCAGATCCTGCCCAGTGTACCCAGGTCCCCTGAGCCTCCTGCTCAGCTGTCTCTGAGCCTCTTCTGTAGGCTGCAGGGGAGTGACTCTCGTTATAGCCTCCCAAAAAAGGACCTTGCTGGCCTGATGTGAGTTCTTCTGTACCTGAAGAATGGCAGAGCCGGCTCTGGGGGAGCTACAAGACAGTTGGGGTTTCTGGGTGGACACATGAGCACCCCTGCTTTTCTATCAGAGCAGGGCCCTGGGACTGAGCTGCCTTTGTGTCCTTGTCCTGGGCCTCGCAGATGATGAGCAGGTCAGGGACAGCCAGAGCTACAGGGTGAGAGCCTGTCTTGAAAGGAACAAAAACAAAACCACCACTAACAAAACTGTAGCGTCCTTTCGTACCTCCTCCAGCTGTCTTGGTCTGAGGTGTTC